AGTTCCCCATCTTTTAAGGGCCTTGCCTCACAGTAAAATTTCTCAAGGAGACTATTAAGTTGACTTGGTGATATTGCTTCTAAATCTACAGGCTCCCTTCTTCTCTCAAAGCTCCAGTCTAATATTCAAGACAAGATATATCCTAAATTAATTATGCATGGAATGTTTTTGTTAGACTTCTACTGCATACGAGATTTATTTTGGACAGAAATATTGATATAACATATTCATTTCACATTTAAATGCTGACATGGTGTATTGGCGCACACTTTCCTTTACAAAAAGGAATGAGGAACAGGTTCAATCCCTGTTGTTGGCTTTTTTAAAAATTAGAAATGAAAAGTAATGCCAATTTTCCATTTATATGAAAATAGAATTTACTTTTTATGCGCCCGAATTTTTTCGGGGCGCATATTGTTTTTGTCCTGTCTGTTTGTCTGTTGTCAACTTTAACCTTCGCCAAAACTTTTGAACCGTAAGAGATAGAGACTTCATATTTGGTATGCATACTCCTCTAATAAAGTTCTTTCAAATGACATCAAGGTCAATGATCTTGTGACCTTGACTGTGACCTATATGCTAAAAATAGGTTTTTCAACTGTTTGTCATAACTTTTGAACCATGAGAGTGGAGACTTCATATTTGGTATGCATACTCCTCTAATAAAGTTCTTACAAAAGGTCAATGACCTTGTGACCTTGACTGTGACCTATATGCTAAAAATAGGTTTTTCAACTGTTTGTCATAACTTTTGAACCATAAGAGATAGAGACTTCATATTTGGTATGCATACACCACTAATAAGGTTCCTTCAAATGACATCAAGGTCAATGACCTTGTGACCTTGACTGTGACCTTTATGCTAAAAATAGCTTTTTCCACTTTTTGCCATAACTTTTGAACCATAGGAGATAGGGACTTCATATTTAGCATGCATACTCCACTAATAAAGTTCTTTCAAACAACACCAAGGTCAATGACCATGTGACCTTGACTGTGACCTTTATGCTAAAAATAGCTTTTTCCACTTTTTGCCATAACTTTTGAACCATAGGAGATAAGGACTTCATATTTAGTATGCATACCCCACTAATTAAGTTCTTACAAACAACACCAAGGTCAATGACCTTGTGACCTTGACAGTGACCTGTATACAAAAAGTAGCTTTTTAGAACTTCGTTGACGCCGGGCGCATAGTGTTTCACAAACACATCTTGTTTGTGTATTGCTTTAAACATTTTTTAATTTCCCATCTTACATGTATTTACCTTGAAACATTTACATCCCCAGTTAGTGTTTTTCTTGGTCCCAGGAGTTTGGCGAACTTCAAACAACCTGTTCACATCGTCGTCTGTACTTTCTTTAAATCTAATGCCTGATTTTTGCACGTTGAGGGGGGTGGCAGGGGTCTCAGGCTTGGAGAGGTCAGATAAGGCAGGGATACTAAGGTTTTCTGTAATATCTTCTAATTGACTACTGCACAACATGTCTAAGAAAATCAATTGTCTCAAACTCGAAATCGTCAAACTCCATTTCTATTTCACCAAAACCAAAGTGACCAAACTGATGCTGGCTCTGAGGAGAACAATCCATTGTATGGAAATATACATCACATTTGCAGACGATTGTGTATACAGTTACATTGGAAATGAAATGAAACAAAAAATGGCAACAAAATGAAGATTTTTTTTTCATTTTTATTAAAATTTCGACTGACACGATAATAAGCACCGTCAAAATACGTTTGTTTATATGTAGATGTACTTTTAAAAAGTAGTCCAAAGAATGTGTATATTCATACGCGGGCAGAGAAAAACCGGATATCTTTGTTAGGAATAGTGACTTGTTTATGGAGAGATTAAAGCAGTATTTTTTTATAAGAAATAAAGGAAGAAAACTTTAGTGGATGTAAATATTTTGTCTTTCCGTCGACTTCCCTTAAAATTGTTTACCTTGGTCAGTATGTTCTTGACGAGGACACCAAATCTTCAAACTCATTGAGAAATACACTTGTAACTGTTTTTGCTTCAATACTTTGAAGGGCAAAAGCCTCAGTCCATCTAGTAAAATAATCGGCAACGACTAAAATATGACTTTTTCTTTTTTTTCAAGGGACCTACACTATCCAGAGCAACTCTTTCTAGAGGAGCGCCAACAATATTATTTCATTGGAGCCTGAGGAGTGCGGGTTGGTGGATTGCTTGATTGACAGGGTTGACATGGTGTTAGCGTAAAGCCATTTTCTGTACAAAGTATTGTCTTGAAAAATAATTGTCCCACTGGAACCAGTAAGACTTTATTTGTGAACCTTCTTGAAATATCATTCTCCGTCCAGGTGTAAATTTTGCTTATGACTAGGTGGGATTTCTGAGACTCAATTACTGAGTATTTCGTCTCTTGGTGTACTTTCAAACTAAAAATAACAAAGTAAGTCATGTTTATCTAAGAGTGAAATCTCAGATTCTTGAGAAATCATGTTCACTCTGGCAGACCACGTGATACGCGATTGATTAGTTCCACGGAAATATGGCGTATTGAAGTTTCACTTCGGGGGAAATTTGAACAGTAAGTAATACTTTCTTCTATGTCTTTCACCATCTAACCCTCGCCAAAGTATAATGATTTTCACAACAGATACGATGTTAGTCCAATAATGTTGGGAGTTTTGAGCGTATAGCGAGAACATTCGTGCCAATTCATTGGCCATTTAATGGAATTCAGTGCGTTTTACATAGTAAAAAATATAATAAATTTATCATTCGTGAACAATCTCCGACTCAGCCAAAGTTGCTCGCGATTGATATCTTTTACAATTCATTGGCCATTTAATGGAATTCAGTGCGTTTTACATAGTAAAAAGATAATAAATTTATTTTTAGTAACCACGGCAACACCGTTCATCGAAATCAAAAACCGATACACAGAATTATGTATCTTAGTGTATTCTACTTGTGTGCCAAGTTATATTGAAATTAGACCAAAACTGTAGGAGGAGTAGCATTTTGAAAAATTGTTTACAGACAGACGGACAGACAGACGGACGAACGCCGGACGCATTACTATCGCATAAGCTCTTCTGGTCTCTGACCAGTAGAGCTAAAAACTACTCAAAATGTTGTTTCATGAGAAATGATCAGTAACCACGATACAAAATGTAACGATCAGTCCCACGATCAGAATTAAATATTGGTAAGAATTATGCAATTTCAGATGCAGAAATACAGATAAACAATTTTTAAAAATCTTTATATTTTGAAGCACAAGATGGATAAAAAAATTTGTAAATACTGTGGGAAAGTGCTCCGTAGTAGGTCCGCGGTCTACGACCATGAGAAAGGACATGAGGGGAAGGCGCCCTTCATGTGTTGTGGAAAGAAATTCTATAGCAGAGCTAATCTGAAAAGACACAGGTAATTATATACTTTATTAGAATTTTTTTTGCATATTAAATCTTTAACTTTTACAGCCGCCGCAGGTGGTGGTGGTGGGAGGGGGGGGGGTTGCTTAATGCCCTTGAACGAGAGGTTAATATGAAAATGTTAACTAAATGTATATTTCTCTAGAACTATTCTTGTAAGTGTAAAATACGTACAATGTTCTGAAAATGTTTTCATTGTCTGTGGCCATAATGGTATTTAAAAATAATGGCTCTTCTCGATCTATTTCTGCCTATTCCATACATGTTTTCTTTTCATATTTACAGATGTTCCGTGCATGACGAAGAAAAAGAATTTACACGTGATCGATGTGGGAAAAAGTTCCCTATTAAAGCTGATTTGAATGGTCACATAAAAAACCACGAGGAACCCCAGTTCAAATGTGAAATTTGTGGACTGTCGTCAAGAAAATAACAAGCACATCTGGATCACATGACCACTCACACAGAGGAAAAAATCATAAATGTCCTTGTGGTAGATCGTTTAGGCATCAAACAAACTTATATTATATAGTCACAAGAGAATGTACAAATCCAAGTAACAATTCACAGTATATTTTGGCCATTGCATCTTTTTTTTTATGCGCCCGGATCGATAGATCCGAGGCGTATATTGTTTTTGTCCTGTCTGTCTGTTTGTTTGTTTGTTTGTCCCCAAACTTTAACCTTCGCCATAACTTTTGAACCATGAAAGGTAGAAACTTCATATTTGGTATGCATACTTCACTAACTAGGTGCTTTCAAATGACACCAATATTATTGACCCTATGACCTTGAATGACCTATATGCTAAAAATAGCTTTCTGTCTGCAAACTTTAACCTTCGCCATAACTTTTGAACCATAAAAGATAGAGACTTCATATTTACTATGCATACTACACTATTTAAGTTCTTTCAAATGACACCAAGGTCAATGACCTGGTGACCTTGACTGTGACCTAGATGCTAAAAATAGCTTTTTCATACCTTTCACCATAACTTTTGAACCATAAAAGACAGAGACTTCATATTTGGTGTGCATACTCAACTAATCAAGGTCTTTCAAATGACACAAAGGTCAATGACCTGGTGACCTTGACTGTGACCTAGATGCTAAAAATAGCTTTTTCGTACCTTTCACCATAACTTTTGAACCATAAAAGATATAGACTTCATATTTGGTGTGCATACTCAACTAATCAAGGTCTTTCAAATGACACCAAGGTCAATGACCATGTGACCTTGACTGTTACCTTTGCTAGTATGCTAGAAATAGCTTTTTAGATTTTTGTTGCCGCCGGGCGCATAGTGTTTCACAAACACATCTTGTTTTCCATCTTTGGTAGTTCCTGACCAGCAAATTCTTCATTAAAGGAAATGGAGATTTGACCTCACACCAATACTTGCAAATGTTCTCGTTTTTATACATGTGAAATATAAAACTTTTTAAAAATAAATTACTGATTTACTTAAAGTTTATATCAATTTATTATACACTCATACTTTACATGAACTTATGCAACATGTAATTACAATAACCCCATTTTTGCAGTTGGCAAGATTTTTGATTGATTACAGCGTGCCTTTTCCCATCTAACACCCAGCGACCCCTTCTGTAACGAATTTCTCTCCGTGACTACTGTTCCAGTCTGACGCCTTCCACATACCCGTTTCCGTTGCTCTTTATCAAAAGGATGATCTCTGAAATTGGAATATAATTCAGACAAACATGAAAAAAAAAGGTTATAGTTTACTAAACCAAGATAGTTTTTATTATACGTATAAGCAGGGAAAATATTACAAGCGTTTTAATTATACTATGTGGGGAAAAATTTTGGATTTTTGTCCCGTAAAATTAAATATGAATAGGGTGTTCAATTATTTTTGAAATCGCTGCTCTTAAATTAATCTCTTAAGGAATCTGTAATAAAATAGAGACGTACTTGAGAGTGATATCTGTTGGCATTTCATGCATATACTTTCTACTGGAGACATGGATGCTTTCCTGATCTACTGAGTCAGTACTGTCAACCAAGTGGTAAACTGTGGACCGTTTAGTACGATAGGAAAATGGCCTAAAAGAAGTAATAGATAATATTTTTGAAGAATTAGAATCATTAAATCAATCAGTGAACATCTATCAAGTTTTTCATGTTCATCATACATTGTGAATTTCACTTTGTGACTTTGAAGAGAAAACTATATAGCATTTCCAAGTAATGCAATGCCGTACGTAAAACATTTTGTTTAGATCTCTAGAAAATATTCTTTAATTAATCAAAATATGAGGGAACATAGTCATTAAATTGTTAGATTATCACTTGTAAGTGTAAATTCCTTTTTATTACCATACCTTTCAGGGTCTAGTCGTATTTGGACTTGCTCGATTGTATTTCCGATGAATTGGCCAAACTCTTGACAAGACACTGTTCCCTGTCCTCTCCTGTCATTCATGGTCAATTCAGAGAAAAATGTCTCCCCAGTCATACTGCTAAATGCCCTGACATTATAAGAACCTCGGTGACAAAAAGAATACAATCATGCTTTTGCATCAATACTAGAAAGTATTGCTTCCCATAGCTGACATGGCCATCCCCCAATGTACATAGTGGGTGGAGGAAATTCGTTAAATTGAATATGGTTCAAGAGACGCCTTCTCAAATTCATCCTTTCTGTTGAGTTAATTCCAGGTTCATCTTCTGCATGCCACCACATGCGCACGTCACAACAAAGATCAGCACTTGCAATATCCCCATCTAATCTCATAACTGATTCTCCTTGTTCTGAAAAATGTGTTATAGCCATAGACACTGACATTGGGTCCACTATTTCCTGTATCATAACTGGTGTCAAGAGAGTTTTACCAGAACGGGCAACTTTCATCCAACTGTCGTTGGTCAAATTTTCTATTCCTCCTTTACAGGTCTTACTTCTAGTTCTAGTAAGTAGATGTGTGGAGTCGATGCATCGCACTTCAAATTGTTTCCTGACAGGACTAAACTCGGGTTTATAGAACCAAGCATTATCATTTCCTTCTACTGTGACATTCCTGACTTCGGACTCCCAGCTATTAATTTTCTCAGGCCATATCATCTCTGCATAAATAATGTTAAGGAAAAATTTTGGTATTTTTGAAACTGTAGCCGCAGAGAGCTCAGATAGAGATTTGACCTTTTTGGCACGTGTTTTGCTCTTTGCATTCCCCGAGCCATTAGATAGCCATAGGTTTGTCTCTAAACCAAAAAGTTTGGCAAGGTCTTGTAATTTCACAGATTTGGCAACTGATTCTTTGATTTTACAGGACTTTGTCTTCTTCAGATACCGTATATCTGCGCGCAACTCTACATCAAGGAAACAATTAAGCTTCTCTGCCGATGAGAAGTACTCAAGAAGTTGAACAGGGGTGTTGCTGTTCCACTTTTCTTTTTTATTGCAAAGGTTAAGTATACATTCCATATCTTGAATTTCAAAATCAAGCTTTGAACTAACACCTTGTGATGGCGTTCCTCTGTCTTGAGAACATACTTCACATTGGGTTTCTTCTCGATTTCCATTCAAAGGGACGTGACTGGTTTCTTCTGATGTATCATCTTGACATCTTGCTAGTTCTAGCGCCCACTCTTCTTCAGCTATATTACTTGCAATCACGTCCATCTCTAAACCCTCGCTGATAGCTGTCATATTTAAGACACTATCACCAATGTTTTGTACTTCCTTCACTGCGTCACGGATGACATCGGCAAGAGTTGAACTTGTGCTGTTTATTGATTCCTTTCCTTTCTTTTTGAAGTTATATTGCTTCTTATTGATTGGATTTTGTGGGAGTCTAATACCTCCATTTGATAGTTCAATCACTTTTCTGGCATTTTCCGTGTCATTCTGGCCTTTGAATCGCAGGATACATGTAATATCTTTGTTCATTTGTTTGAATTTAGCTATGATGTCAGTTTTCTTCTTCTGTTCTACTTCTTTCCAAACATCTTTTTGTAATTGCAAAACTGTCAATGGGTGTCTATCTTTGGAGCGTGTTACAAGCCCGTGCCATTGCCCATCAAAAAACTGACAAGGAATAGGAATTCCTTGATTGTGACAATTAGTATGTACCTCTTCTACAATCAAGCCTAGGTTTTCAGTGCTTAAACTACAGCCTTTTGAGAACCAGCAAACTGGCGCACTTCTAACCTGATTCTTTTCCAGCCTCTATCAAGTCCTGCTACCAAAAAGACCATAGCTTCACATACTCGTTCTCGTTTGAGTTTATATTGGTTTTTAGTCAGATTCTTGATGTCCTTTAGTAGTTCCTGTACTTTTTTCAGCTCGAGTGAATTTGAATTGTAAATGTTATTTTCACTCTCTGAAACAAATGACGAGGAAAGTCTTGCAACGAGACGAATGTCCTTGCTTTTGTTTGAGATCTCTACTTTTAATAGCCTTTGTTCTTCGTTTAACTTAGTTGGCTTCTTTTCATTGTCACAAAACAATTGTTTTGATAATTCAATGCTTTCTTATAAAGGCTATCATCTCGCCCCACCATGAATATATTTGTTTCTTGGGGTGTCCAACTTACAAATACCAAGTTGTCGACTTCTAATGCCTGAATTTCGCAAAGGCATTGTAACAGATATCGCGGTGGGAATTGAGAGTGTACTTTATTTACAGGACATTTGATCTCCACTGCTGTTTTAGTTGAACTAAGGGACGTGTCCTCTCTCAAACTGCCGTCTGGTGAAACTACCATAAACGGCTTTTCATCTTGATTAATGACAACACATCCCTCCTCGTAAAATGTCAAATTTGGAAAGAATACAGGCAATACTTTTCCAACAATAGTTGCAACTGCATTTTCTTCGTTTTCCATGCCATGTTGCATGGCAAGTCTTACAACGTGTGAGGGTTCTTTCTGCTTTACCCCGCAAATCACATTATCAAAGTAGTCTTGAAGTCTACCTAGCCCGTCACATCCTGTTGCAGTGTACATTGTACTTCCTGTTACTTTAACACTTTTCCTAATTTTAAATCATTCGTCAGATCGCTGTTTGATGAATCTCGTATTTTCAGATTCTTTTGTCCCGTCGACGCATACGTAAAGATCATTTTGTGATAAATTAACTTTCGTCCCTCAACAAAGTGACTACCGTTGATGTACGCCACAGTCAGTGCAATCCTATTTGTTATGTTTGCGGCAAGTTCTAAGTAGCAGTCAATATCATAGATGAAAGCAATTATAGCACTTATATTACTTTCCTTTTCTCCAATCAGAGTCCCCTCCCCTTTCGATCAGCTTTGCTTTTGCGTATTCTTTCTTATTCTTTATTTCCCTAATCTGAAACATGTCATTTAAAGTAGATGATAACACCATAAGTAAAACGTTTTTTTTTCAATTTCCTGTCCTTGACTCGTTTAGATCTTTCAAATCGCCTTCATATGGTTTGAGTTCTTCTATAACGTCATCAACTTCTTTTAGACGTTTTTCTAATCTTCTCTTTTTGTCACTTAAGGTCTCATTCATTTCAAATCCGAGTAAGTCAACATCTCCTGAATCTTTTAGTAAGCCTTGTTTTATTTTCTTGCCATCAAAAGTAAGACAAGCGGACTTCTGAAAGAGATTTTCATTTAAGCAACTATTATATCATCATAAATACCGGGCTTCCTTTCACCTTACAGCCGAAGCAAAGGCAATTCAACTTGCATTTGAATATATAGAATCATCTAGTGATAATTTATTTACAATTTTTTCAGACTCCCTCTCCTGTTTACAATCAATAAGCAGTATGAACATTGATCACCCGTATATTTTAGATATTTTAACCAAATACTTTAATATCACAAATCAAGGTAAAGTTGTTGAATTTTGTTGGATTCCAAGTCATATTGGTATTTCTGGTAACACTAAGGCTGACAGTGCTGCGAAAAAAGCACTTCAGTATGAAATTGTTCACTTTAAAATTCCTTATACTGATTTGAAATTTTTAATTAAAAATTATGTTAATTCTCTAATAATAAACTTTATGCAATACAGAACACAGTTAATCATTCATCTAATTTTGGTCTGAAACGTCAGGATGAAGTTATTATTTCAAGAATTCGTATTGGACATTCAAGGTTCACTCATTCATATCTACTCAACAAGGAACAACAACCCGAATGCATCTCTTGTGACTGTGTAATTACTGTACAACACATAATGTTAGAATGTTCTGATTTTTCGCCCATACGTAGTAGACTCTTTAAAAATATACATACAATGCATGACCTTTTTCAAAATATTAATCCGTTTACAATATTAAAGTATTTGCAAGAAACTGATTTTTACTGTAAAATCTAAATTAATGTATCTTAATGAAAATCATTTTTAATTATTTTAATTGAACAGCTTTACATTTTTAATTTTGAGGTCCGTCGGATGGGACGTTAAATGGTGCCCCGTGTCAAGGATTACAACCCCCTTGGCACGCAAAAGATCGTTTCTCTGATTTTCGAAAAAGAGTAGGCTCATTGGGGGCCGTCAGAGAAACCCAAAACTTTAAAAACTGGTCACATGATTTACTTTTAATCGCCGATATTTGGCTGAAATATTGCCGATTCGGCGTAAAACATTAATCAATCAATCAATCCTTTCAGCTTGAACTCCATACGGGTCAAAGCTCCTCAATAGACTAACATCTGGTACAGCAAAATTCACGTCAGAGGAATTAGGCGTTGGAATAGTTGAAAGAATCCTTACTCCTTCATTCTTGTATCCACCCATGAAATGAACAAATTTTGCTCCAAACAGTCTCCAACCAAGCTTCCAAAACTTTTTCGTTTCTTCAAAGTATCTCGTACTGCACAAGAAAACCACTTCACAACTTCAGCCCAGAGTTGTAATGAAATATTTTGTGGTGGAAATTTCTGGTCATTTACAAGTCTTAAAAAACTGACCATAGTTTCGTCCATGTTGCCACAATTTGAGAGTTTTTCCATCACTGAAGGTGCAAGCTTGATGAGCTCCTCCGTAAGAGATTCCTCCTTTTCGTCGTTTTCTTTGCTCTCTGTGAAGTTGCTGATAGGTAAAAAAACATCTTCATCAACCCTTGCTCTGGTTTCGTTGATAGACGCATGACTAAACAAAACACGGGCCGAATTTTTTTTTTCCACGCTTTGCAAGAGGGGAGGTTAGCCATTTTGATCTGGATACAGCTGATTTTGGTGTCAACGGAGACTTTGAAAATTTACGCTTTATACTACTAGTACTTCTGAATGGTGAATCGTGAATTAGGGTGATGTTTGATACACTATGTGTCTCTTTATTGACGCGAGAAGTTATTCCTGAGTTAAGAAAAGGTGATTTTAAAGCAGAAATATAAATTCTGTTTTCTTTTGTGGAAGGCCGCCAATTTCTTTTAGGTCTGTTCAGTGATAAATTAGATTTCTTCCTCATGTCAAGGTCTATAAGAAAAAACATAAATGTCACTTAAAGTATTAAGATAACTTCGA